AAAAAGTGGAGTTGGACAATACAGTAATTTGAGGCAGCAGAATTTCCCGCCAAAACAGACGCCTTGCTTAGCTGGTATCTGGCATCGTGTGTCCTCCACAATCCACTGTGTGGTGTGTTTAGTGTTTCGAGAGAGAGAAAGGTTTAGCAATCAGCAGAGCTGAATAATCGATTATCAGCAGCAAAGCAGAAGGCTAATTCCGATGGTAATTAAATAATTATTTTATCTCTCTATGATTTGTTTTGTTTGATGTAGATCTTGTCAATAAAATGGTTGAATCACCAATCCTTTTTTGTTCTTCGTTTAATTGTTTTTCTTTCTTGCTTCGCATCAACTTCTGCGGTTTGGTAACAAACTTAAGTTGCTCGATGAAATGTCTTGCTGAATGTAATTTATTCATAACTTAATCGATTTCTTCTTCTTCGGTATAATGCGCTCTGTGATGCTGTAGTCCAAGAAGCGAGGTCTTTCTTTGGAAGAGAAGCGCGAGAAGATTCTTCAGATCTTTTATGATTCACAAGACTTTTTCCTAGTGAGTGTTATGTTGTTAATTGCTTGCTCTTTGAAATCTCATGCTCAAGGTGCTAATGGCCCCCTTGCCCTCTTTGATTTGGAAACTTGCTGACGCATTCTCATAACTTCAGCTAAAGGAACTTGAGAAATTGGGCCCCAAGAAAGGTGTGATTAGCCAGTCCGTGAAAGATGTTGTCCAGAGTTTAGTGGATGATGACCTTGCTTCCAAAGACAAGATCGGGACTTCTGTGAGTATGCTTTTCCTGATTCACAGTTCAAAATGTGAAGTGTGTAGGTACTTAATGGTTTTCGTAATTTTGAAATTTCAGGTCTACTTTTGGAGTCTTCCTAGCTGTGCTGGAAATCAGGTGAAGTTTTTATGTGTTCTACTTCTTTGCCTGAATTTCACAAACTTGGTTTTATAATCGGTTCATTAACATGAAAACTTTTGGTTTTATAGCTGAGGACTGTGCACCGCAAACTTGATTCTGATTTACAAAGCAGTAAGAAGCGGCATGCAGAACTTGTTGATCAGTGTGATGCATTAAAGAAAGGACGCGAGGAATCTGTGAGTAGACTAGGCTCCATTCCTTATTGTTTTTTGATGATTCTCCTGTTGGGCTGAATTACCTGTCTCTCAAACCTTTTTACTAGGAAGAACGAGAAGATGCTTTGGCTGAGCTGAAAACCATTGAAATGAAGTATAACGAGCTGAAGGTTTATCCTAACCCTTTATTATACATTTAGCAAAATGAGCAGATCACCAATTCTCCCACACTTCTATTTCATCAGGAGGAGATGGAGAAGTACGCAGACAATGATCCTGCTGCCGTCCAAGCAATGAGTAAAGAAATCTCCATCTTTGTTTGATCTCCAAACTCTTGTATTCTGTTCCAAAACATCTTTTTAAAGCTCAGTCAACAGTAATTAGCTCCTTGATCAGTTTATCATCCCTGAAGACATATTGATGGTCCTCATTTCACTATTGCAGAGGAAGCTATTGAAGTTGCCCATGCGGCAGCAAATAGATGGACAGGTTTTGCCATTTACACCTTGTTTATTTCCTTTTTCTTATTATTTATCCTTGATCTGTTTCCATGAAAATTTTAACTACAATGAATCTATCTATCATGGAAAAAAAAAACCTTACAGATAACATTTTCACATTGCGACAATGGTGTTCAAACAATTTCCCTCAAGCCAAAGAGCAGCTTGAAAAAATGTATCAGGAGGTAAGTTTCATAATTTTTTATTGGTGTTTAAACAATTGTGTCCCATTTTAACATTCGAGCCACAACCTGATGCTGCCTCCAATACCACAAATGAGAAGAACCTGTATTTGCTCCTCCTTTAACTAGGTCCAAATGCCTCCTAGGCATGACACTATCATATGACAGTCATGCGCTCATAGTTTTGAACTTAAAACGGTCCAATTCCCGTCATTTGTAGATCTTTTTGTCTAATTTTCTGGTTGTCCCAGATTGTACATAAAGAGAGCTCTTTGATTTGTTTGTCTAAAATCGATGTGTTAATTTCCTGTCAAAATGTGAATATTTTCTTAGATTTGGTCATCCCTTTAACATGCTTGGTCTACATATTTTTGAGCTTGTGTTTCTTTTAGTACTTTGAAGTAGCATGTGTCCACGGGCTCTACTTTTATAGGTTTTGTGTCACTGAGATCTTTCCTTTCAAATCTATGTACAGGCAGGAATAACAGATGAATTTGACTATTTGGAGCTTCTACCAGTTATTTCAGTCGACGCCGTTACCGATCAGATGCTGGAAGGCGACCCTTGATTGAAATTACTCAGAATGCTGTCTTCCTAGATTTTCAGTTGCAGATGTTGTTTGGACAAGGAATTGGAGAATAGGCCATCTCCTTCTTCATGTACTGGAGTGTCTGAAACGGTAAAATGCTTTTATAGCTATTATATCATTCTCTCATTGATCAAGCCACCTCAGTTGCCACCCCCGCATGCGGATCGCTGGTGTCTGAGGCAGGCTAGCTCGAGCTACTTGTTCTTTACCCTTGAAGTCTGAGGCAGGCAGGCTTACAGTTTATTAATGAACCTTAATAAGTACACGAAAAAAAAATTTAAAAAAAATGCAGCGCTGCCAGTCGCTTGATCGTGAGTTCAACATCAATAAGTACACGAAAATTTTTTTAAAAAAAAATGCAGCACTGCCAGTCGCTTGATCGTGAGTTCAACATTGGGCGATGAGTTTTTCGTTTCTAATTTCTTCCAGGGTTTGCAACTCCATTTTTTACCTCTCAAAAAATCTAGGGATTCAAAGACCTTCACAAATAATTTCCAGCCACATCCCCTGGAAATATCCAGTCACATCCTCAATAATTAAGCTTTCGTTGGTTACAGTAGTTTATATGCTGCTGGGTGTTTTGCGACTGCAGTGGTAATCGGTTTTTAAAATATTTTTTTAAAAAAAATATATTAAAATAATTTTTTTATTTTTTTTCAATTTTTTTGATGTTATTATATTAAAATTATTTAAAATATTAAAATTAAAATTTTTTTATTTTATTTGATATTCACCAACCATAGTCACTTTGAACAGGTTCAAGCATGCACCATTACTTTCTGAGTTTTAACAATGCCAAATGCATCCCAGTTTTCATAAATTCATAAGAGATCACGATGGATTTGGTATGATAAATATTTTTTTTTTGAGTTGTTTGATGTATTTTTAGATAATATAAAAGTTAATTTATAAAAAAAAAATTATTTAATTTTCCATACACAGATTAATTTAGTTTAACTAAATCAATATAAAAATAAATAAATTATTATAATTTTAAAATTTGATCCAAGACAAAATCTAAAGATATTAATAATAAAAATAAAAATATTTATTTTTAATTTTAAAACTTAATTTGAAAATGGATCAAGTTAATTATTAACTTAAATTAATATAAAAAATTAATTAGGATTAATATAAAAATAAAAATATTTATTATTATAATTTTAAAATTTAATTTTGGAATTAGCCTAAGAATAGGATTAAGTCACATCTAAGTTGATTATTTATTCAAATTAACATAATAATAAAAATAATTATTATTATAATTTTAAAATTTAATTTTAAAATTAATACATGTCAAAGGCTAAATTAACTATTAACTTGAATCCACATAAAAATATAGTTATTATACTTTTAAAATCCTATTCAATTTTTTTTATGTTATTATATTAAAATTATTTAAAATATTAAAATTAAAATTTTTTTATTTTATTTGATATTCACCAACCATAGTCACTTTGAACAGGTTCAAGCATGTACCATTACTTTCTGAGTTTTAACAATGCCAAATGCATCCCAGTTTTCATAAATTCATAAGAGATCACGATGGATTTGGTATGATAAATATTTTTTTTTTGAGTTGTTTGATGTATTTTTAGATAATATAAAAGTTAATTTATAAAAAAAAAATTATTTAATTTTCCATACACAGATTAATTTAGTTTAACTAAATCAATATAAAAATAAATAAATTATTATAATTTTAAAATTTGATCCAAGACAAAATCTAAAGATATTAATAATAAAAATAAAAATATTTATTTTTAATTTTAAAACTTAATTTAAAAATGGATCAAGTTAATTATTAACTTAAATTAATATAAAAAATAAAAATATTTATTATTATAATTTTAAAATTTAACTTAGAATTAGCCTAAGACTAGGATTAAGCCACAAATAAGTTGATTATTTATTCAAATTAACATTGAATCCACATAAAAAAAATATATAGTTATTATACTTTTAAAATCCTATTTAAGAATTAACTCGAAATACTAATCTAATCATAAATTGAATTGACCATTAACTCAAATCAACAAAAAAAAATATATAAATAATAATAATTATTTTAATTTTAAAATCTAACTAAAAAATCAACATAAAAAAAGCCCAAAGTCTAAGCTGACCACCCAATTTAAGAAAACAAAATCAAAGAAGCCTCATCAGAAATTTTTACCTCACCTCTGTTTCATTTTTTGGGTGACCGACTCACTGGTTAACTTGAATTTTTTATCATGTCAATCTTTACTTTATTATTTCTTAAACCCAAACGAGTTCAAATCTTAGAGTCGATCATGTCTAATATCCACCAAACAGAAAATCAGGCAAATTATCTGGTCCAATCCAAAACACATCAACCACAGGTCAAGACACAAAAAACACTTATCTGGTCTCATCCAAAGCACACCAAACACCGGTCTAGACGGTTATTTGTCCAGTCCTATCCGGTCTGCCCAAGACACACCAAACACCGGTCTAGACAGTTATTTGTCCAGTCCTATCCGGTCTGCCAATACCTTCTGATACCACATACCAAACACTACCCAAAAGGACACTAAATGCATTTATTTACTCACTATATTTTAAACGATAATTGAAGGTAACCAAGTTGGTGACACATAATACGAGAAAATTAGTCAAAGAATCCCCCTTGCTAAGAAAGAAATGTTATCGAACACAATAAAAAAGCTTCAAACGGCCGGATAGAAATTTTAAGGGGAACCAGATTCAGTTTACGCAATCTTTTATATACATTGTCTATTCACTCCTCGATGCACACTCGATGCGTGGGAGTAGGCAGCAGAAACTCCATAATACAGCATGGACAATCTATAAATAATCTCTTTGTTCTGGAACATGGTACCTGCAACAGCCAACTAAGAAAATCAACTCTACAAGTACTTGCTCACACTGCAGCAATATTCAACGGCATTCATGTGTTATTTTGTTCAGCGGAATAACTTCCAACATGTTTTGTTCAGTGCATCCAATTGCAGTCTACTTTTTCTTAATGGTTTAGCCATCAACTACTAGGTAGTGTATAATGTCTGAAAAGAAGGATCAAATCAACAGTTTACGAGCAAACAAAAAGTAAACCTGCTCAGAGTGCCATCTCAGCTTGCAAGTCAGCAAGTTCTTCTTCCTCAGCTGTGCGTTTTTGGGGAGCTGGTTTCTTGCCAGCTGGGACGTACACTGGAGCCGCTGGAGCTGTTGTTGCTGGCTGAAGAAGCTGCTCTTCCAATTCAGCTCCTTCCAGTTCTTCTAGTTCTGCCTCCAATTCATCCTGAAAAGGTCCAACTATTTAGATGCTCTGCCAGATGAAAACTTGCGTGCAATTTGGAGAGATATGCTCTCATAACAGGGTTTGGAGTTGAGAGAATTAAAATTTTCCTTGTAAGACACTGACCTCATCAAAATCAGCTGCAGAACCAATGGGGGTTGATAACGCTTCTTGAATCTGTTTCATGTTCTCTGTCTGCTCATTGATCTCATCCATTGTCTTGTCCACATCATCAATATTCCTATAATCCATCATTTTTACAGTTATTAATCACATGTACCATCCAACCTCATTAATCAGATATCACAACTGCAAATAAAATGGAATGGCACACCAAGTTGAAGCCAAATAAAGATGGTGTTTCCTGTTAACAGTCATTCAAAAAGAAACACTTAAATTGGACAAGAGAACAAGAATCGTAAATATTTTCAGGGTGAAACAAGCACTATAAATTTACAATTTGGGCACAGCAACCAGGAATGTGAAAATATTGCAACCAAAGACAATAAGCAAACCATGAGTGAAGATTCCACTAATAAGTTTAACTGATATAATTGGTACATACGTTGCTTTCTGCATCGCCTTCATAGCAGATGCACCAGTTCTTAATGCATCTACAGTTTCAGTAGTAGCTTTTGCACCTTCTAGCATAATCATCTGTAAAATTGACATCCACAGCACAAAATTTCAGGCTCTACCATTCAACCTACACAGATTTATTAAGATGCCGTTGAAAACAAAAGCAATAGCAAGAACGCCAGCTGACCTGATCATGAATGCGTAATTGAAAGTTTCCAAGTTGTTCTATTTGCTGCTCATCCAGCCTCTTCCTCTTCAAACATTGAATTGCAGCTGGAAAAAAGCATCATCAATCAGTATTTGACTGAAAAGAACCCAAATCCTGTAAATAATGCTGCACAAGGATTTGTTTTTAAGTTACATATTCATGTAATCGATGTCTGTACAGGGAAATCATTAACAATGGTTCTTCACTTGATTACAGTATCAAGATGATACTCCACATCCACAGTCACAGATTCAAGAATCCACGATGCTAAAACATGGAAGCACGTCAAAGTCTAATACTGCCCAGTAGAGTTACGAATTTCAATGAAGGAGTTTTTTTCCAAGACAATATTATCTAAGTAGTACAATTAAAAGAAGTATCAATGTCCAATGTGGATATCAGAAACATGAAAATCCATGAAGATATGAAATCTAGAGTTGGATAACTTCGTCTCTTGAGGTTCCGAGCAAAAACAAAGAGGGGACAATGACAGATAAAAAAAGCAGATGAAGTATCTATTTAGCAATAAAAATGCAAAGGTATAAAACAGCAGCATATATCTGCCAATTTTCAGCAGCCCACCAAGTAGACTTGCATATGCATTGTAAAAGTAATAATTAAAGGAAACGATCAAACCAACCATAAATGGTTACTATGATGTAGCATTATCATACCCCTTTTGTTCTTCCCTCTAGTGTATTCCTTAGCCTTTTCAACTTCGGCCGCTGCCTTTTTAACTAGAACCTTCTCCTTTTTCTCGAGCATTTCAAGTGTCTATATAGAGCATTGACAGTTTAGTTGAAAAAAAATAGGAATATTTTTACAGTACAGATAAAAAAATCCAATCAACACATGAATATTAAACTTGGTTGAATCAATCATAAACAATAACAATCTAATAATAATAAAAACATGTACACAATAATAATTAATTAATTTTTTTTAAAATGAAATCTATCAAACTACGGGGAAAAAAGAACATAAAAATAAAAGGAAAATAACCTCGTTTAATTTGTCTAACGAAGTAAGGGCATTGGTTTCCTGCTTAGGTTTTCCAAATAAGCGGTTAAACATGGTGGATTGTGTTAGGTTTAAGAACCCTGCCTGCCCGTCTGCCTCGCGATCTACTATATTGCAAACA